AAGAGGTACGTGGGTTTTGGAAAGGAGTGAGGGTGCGCGTTTCCCCACCGTCCGGCTGGGTGGCAGAGCCAGCCCCTGCTGTCCCTGGGTCATGGGTGGATGTGCGTAAGGTGGGAGTAAAAGCAGATGTGCCCATGTCCTGGGAGGGATGGGGGCTAAACTAGCCTTTGTGAGGAGACCTTTAGCCCCTTAGCAGCCCAAGTTTAGGTGTGATGAAATTATGAGTTATGAAGATGTCCTTGCAATTTGTGTTGCTAGAAACCTCTTGAATTTAATGACTTTTTCAACTTAAAGGTGCTGTGTCACTTAAAGTGACCCGGTGAATTCCTTCTGTGCCCTGCACCTGCAGTCCATAATGCAACCTGCTCAGTTCACGGAAGGGAAGAGGTTTAGCCTTGCTAACGGCCAGCTCTGACTTAGTCAGGAGCCGCGGCAGGACGAGCCGTGCCCACGAGCATCCCACTCCCTGGCAGTCACTGCTTCGGTCCTGCTGTTGGGTATCGGGGTCCTGGGATGGGCAGCACCGCCCAAACTATTGCACTCAATTTTCAGATCCAGCCTAGAATTTAAGCCAGGTTTTAGAGGAAGTTCATTTGTTCCCAGCAATAATTAAGTCTATTTCACCTTCCCAGCAACAAATGTTAATCAATCTTAGAAACCCTGCTTGGGGAGAAATGGCAAAAGTCTCGGTAGAAGAGTTAACTTGGCATCACCCGTCCTGGTGAATACTTGTGCTGCAGTCTGTCCAGATCACCTGGCAGGTCTCCTGGGATGGCTGGAAACATTTGACCGGTCAGAAATGGAGTTCATGTGCCCGGACCCCGAGAGCTTCTCTGCGCAGGAGAAGCCACGCTACCCCCTGGCATTGTAGTGGGAGATTTATTCTGAAAACCATCGTGCTCAGTTCAGCCAGCTGAGAGGACAAACTAGTCCCCTGTTTTGACAGGCAGAGATAAAAGAGGTCAGAGGGTTGAGTGGAAATTGGAGGGACTGGCCTGCAGCCAAACTGGAGCTTAGGGAGGGGACTGAGTTCAGGCTTGTTACTGCTGAACTTCTGTGTGTTCCTTTCTGGGAGGGCGATGAGGTCAAGGTGGTGGAACCAAGACCTTTAATGTACCTCTTGGGAGCCAGGCATGTGACTTTTGCCGTGAACTCAGATGAAATCAACTGTTCCTGCAGGACTCTGGCATTGCCCCAGCGTCTCCGAGACTTCTGGTTCACCTTAGTCTTTCCTTGCCTTCATCAACCAAAGCAGTGTGCTATGTGCACATGTGGCCACTTCCTTGCTACCTGCTAGCACAGTCATTACATATTGTATCTCAAAGCCCTATTACAAGACTCCCTTTTTTCTTTTCCACCTCCTGGCTTGTTTCTTATTCACGCAGGAGTTTTCTCCCTGGCAGAGGGGACTCGAGGGCTGCTTACTGCTTTTGCAGGCTGCTTGTCATGAAGCATTTTCTAATGGCAAAGCTTTGGGAGTAGCAACGTGTCTAAACTCAGGTTATATAGGAATATCACCCCTAAGTCTTTCTGTGCATCTCGATATTGAAATGTGGTTACCCAGAAGATGACTATTCCCCTTTGCATAGGTAGCCTCATCCCAACACTTTCTTTGCAGAAGCGAGGTCCTTGCTCCAATTTAATTTCATCCCTTCCTTTTGCTAGTGGCACCTCATGCATATTTCATAGATGAAGCGCATTGTCAAAGGAAAATGAAGATGTGACTTCATTGCTGGAAATCTTCACAAAAACCCACAAGCTAAGAATGAAAACATATGACTGAATGCAAACAAGTTATGGTCAAATGAGCGCATTGACTTTTGCCCTTGGAGTCCTGTGCCTTCTACAAGTTACCCAATGTAATATTTGCAGCCAGGAAAAACTGAACTTAAAGAAAAAGCAAAGCAAAAAGGTCCCAGAAACATTGGGCCAAGCAGATCTTTTAGCAGTTCAGATGCTGGAGCTCACTATAGCCTTTTCTTAATTTCACTGCTATTTCTTCTACTCCATGATTAAAGGTTTCACAGAGTGTGTAATATCAACTAGTCTAATGCATTCCACCGTATTGACTGGTTAAAGATTCTTCAGAGGGAGGAAAAGCTTCCACAACGAATCTCAGACAAGCACTGGTGCAGGTGGCCAGTCCATTGCTGATACTTACGGGTGATCAGCTAACCAAGAAGTTTTGACTTTCTTTAGTCTAGTAAAAGAGAACAAATAGCATTGATTATCAGGCAAGGAAAAGTTGTCCTGGAGCGTCTTCCTCTTGTTCTGCATTTGCAGTGCAGCTTCAAGAAAGTGTACAGGTTCTTCAAATAACTGAAGTGCTATACTTTCCTTACAGGAATAGGTTCCCCAGCATGAACTTTGAAGCAGAGATTCTGACAGCTCCACACGATAATTCAGGTATTTGGGAGAAAAAAAAAAGGAGATTAAAGTAAAATGCCCACTCAGCTTGCTAACACTACAAACATGTTTTATTTCTTTTGGAGTTAGAGATTGTTTGAAAAAAAAAGAAACAGGATGCTAAACTGACTGCAATTCAGGTGATTTCAGGTTTATGTTAGGGTATAGTTCAAAGTGTTGAGGATAGATGTTGATACCTTTACCTCCAATAGGGCTGGACATAGGGTCTCCATACGTACCTACCAGAAACACAGCTGCCAATGACGTGTGGTTTTGGAAACAGCACAGGCATTCAATTTAAGATTACACAGTCCTGTACGAGACACACATAGTTTTCTTACTAGTGGCAACTAAAAGCAAATGATAAATAAGCAGTTCCTTGAAAGGCAAAGATGAGGATGAAGATGTTTGCTGAGTCCTGTCCTTCATCCTCATTTCGCTTAGGAGGAAAAGCTGATTTTTTTCCTATTGAATGCTACTTTTCCAATGCTGATGTCACATGTTGAGGCTGGCACTACGACTGCCTTCCTACTGCAGCCCTCTGTCTGAGATAGACCCCAGAACCAGTACTCAGCTGCATGGCATCTTCTCGTGAGCCTCAAGTCTTATCGTTGCTCCTCAGACCCAAGCAGTTGGCCAGAGCTTGTGCCCTGGCAGCAGCGCTGTCATTAGGATGAGACAGCAGGAAAGCGAGTTTTTGCAATGATTGCTTGCAAACCCTTGAGTAGCCCTGGGTGTTGGTTCAGAGCTAGAAATCTTGGTCTCAGCCACCCACATTTGAGCATGAGCCTGTTCAGATGAAGTGCTTTTGCTATCAGTGGCCTTCCTGGCCACGAGCTGCAGTTCCCAGCAGGGAATTCACCTCTCCAGCAGTGCATTGCAGTCCCATGCTGGCAAGAGTCAGAAATGAGGTGCATGGGGTTGACTATTTTTGCTTCAGCTGCAGGTGGCGGTTTTTGTGTTGTATCACCCCTAATAGCACATGTGCCAACAGTTGACGATTTCAGTTACACCGTCCAGCATGTGCGAGAGCGACGGCCCCTCCAGGTTTGGACCCGCTGTGCAATTCCCTTCACCTTCTTGCCTTGGGCCTTCCAGAAAAACACTCCAGTTACTTCCCTTTCTGCAAACCGAGTACCCCATATCTATCTAAGCATCTTCAGGAAATTATGGGGATGTTTTCCTCAGGGAGACCTGTAATAATGAGGCACTTAACAAATATGCTGATGTCAAAGGGCATCTAAGAATAATTTTCAAACCCTGAGTGTGAACAGGTTGGAAAGTGTTTGCATGAGCCCACCTGCTTGGACGGCTCCTGGGCCGTGCGTTCTCCCTACCGTCTTCCTGACTCTCTGGCTTCTGTTGGGTTGGGTTGGGTTTCTTCCATGAGGTAAGTGCTTTGATCCTTCACTTGCCTTGAAGCCACTAACACACAATTTGTATTTATTTCTCAAGAGCTATATGTGATCCCTTCCATGAGAAGTCTCACGGCTGAGGAGTATGTAGAAGCCTTTAAGTCGTTTTTGGATCATTCAACAGAGCACCAGTGCATGGACGAGTTCAACAAGGAAGAAATGCCCAACATCATGGCTGGGTAAGGAGTGCTTCCACCGAAGTGGGAAAACCATCTGTTATCTTGGGAGGGCAACCTGCATACAAGGGTCAGCAAACATGTTTAAGGATTTTCTGGGGCATGAATTAACTTTTAATGCTTTTTGATTTTAAGTCCCTTAATAGCAGTCTTGAGGATATTCTGTTTAATGACTCCAGAATACATGCTATTTCAATTAATACACTGTGCTGCCTCTCAGCTTATGTTAAGGAAAGAATCAAGACCTCATTTTCACGTCCATCTCTTTTCATTAGCTGACTTTCCAAGGATTAAAGTATTTTTCGTTGTTTGGTTTTTTTCAAAAGAAAGCTCTCTTGTGCTCTCTCCCTGCTTTTGGGACTTCATCATGCATCAGTCCAAACAGAAACACATCTCTAATTCTCTTCTAGTGACTAATTCTTGATTTTCTCAATCCCCTAAGACCTCCTTATTTCTATCCTAAGTCGATTTGCATTGCTTAAGTACCAAATGATAATCAGTTTTGTGAAGTATTGATGTAATATACTAAGCCTGGATGACTGCAGATAAGTTTTAGAGCAGCCTAGATCCAAACCACAAGAAAGATCTTTCAAGTTTGCGTAATTTTTGGATGTTATGGAAACTGTATTCTCTATTGAGAAAAAAATTTAGGCAGGCAAATTTTTATTCTCCAGATCAGATATATATAAAAAATTAGCAATAAAATAATAATTAAAAAATATTTTGTATTGGGAAATTTTAATTGAAATATTTACTTACGTGAATTTGAAATGATGCAAAACATTGTGGCTTCTTATGATGTTGATTGTGGGTCTGTCAAAGGGTCTTGACCCTCATTAGGGCTAAGGCTCCTTGACTAGCTCACACCCTGCAGGATTTACTACACTCTCCCCTCTTGTTGAATCATTGCTGTGGTGTCTCCTGAGATTGTGTATGGGAAAATCAATCCCTCTGCACAGTCCATGCCCGAGAGCAGAATAAGGCCATAAAGCATGTCACAGCAGCGAGGTGCCTCGAGCCCGGGCTCCTCATCCTTAAGCCAGGCTGTTATTAAATATTCTGCTAGGAACCACAAGGTTGGGTGGGGTTTTTTTGATCTTCTCAGAAGTAATTTTTCTAAGGTAAAAATTATTGAAGGTTTTGACCTTTCCTCCCAATTTCAAACCAAGACGAATATTGAAAAGAGAGGATTTCCAGTCATCTGGATAGCCTGTTTTTTTATTTTTTCTGGGCATTTATATCCAATATGGGAAAACCAAACTTGTCTCCTGAGGGTGCAGAGGTTTTGCCCCATCTCACCTTGCCCCTGCAGCCCCGGCTGGGGAGCGGTGCCCATCCCAGCCAGGCACAGCCCCGCTACCCCTGAAGAAAACCCTTCGCCCTGGGGTTCCCTGAGGCCTTTTTACATGGTGCCAGCCACAGCTTGAAGAAAACTCTCTGGCAGAGGAAGAGAAACACTATATCCTGCTGCCTACTGTACTGTGAAATATGAGCTTGCTAATACAGGGCTGGCTCCCGCCACGCAGTTGATTATAGCTGGGCTCCAAAGGGATGCTCGAATTTCTATCCCAATTCACGTGGCAAAACTCAGTTAAATTTCCGGGCCAATGTGGCATCCAAGATATTGGAATTAAAACATGAAGTTGTGTGACATAGTGTGGTGGAGTAATGTGTACTTATCGTTTCAGTCTCGGCAACGGAAAATCGACTATAAATGTTCTGGGAGTTGGAAGTGGCACAGGTAAGGAGCTTAGCAGCACCACTGATACTGGGGGTCAGGGGGTCCCTGTGGTTAGCGGAAAGTGATACTGAAATTTTGAGCAATGGGGATAACTACTCAGGCGTTAATAACAGTATTTCTCAGTGAAGCAGAGAACAGCAAAACGGGGTGTGGAGCCGGGACGAGACCAATGCTCCCTCTCTTCCTCCCCCATCTCCCTTATAAAATGCTGCTGCTCAAATTTGTCCAAGAAGTGAGATGAGTGTGATGATTTTTGTTTAGTCTCTGCCTCTTGATGACTCTCACCTGACTTTATATGTCTCAAAGCAAGGAGTCCTGCTCTGGGTTAGGAATGAGAGCATTTTCAAACCTCGTCAGGGAGAATTAGAGACATCTGAGAGGTTCGTTCCACGCAAAGTCCTGTCTTCGAATATCCCACCTGAAGGGATCTCTCATTTTGCTTTGCTTTTAGGGATCCCAGAGGCCAAAGCTGGGCAATGCTCTGCTCCGGGTGGTGCAAAACCAGCTGGCCACAACCATTGACAGGGGGCCTCATCAGCTTTTTCAAGACGTGTTTCTTTGTTACTACGATGTTTTTATCTGGTGATAAGTAGGGTTTAACAACTAATGATATTTCTCTCCAGACAGAAACCCATGTTTTGGAAAAAAAGTTTTAAAGCTGTTCTACATGCATTTGTGTTTAAAAAAAAAAAAAAAAAGCGGTGAAACATCCAGCTTCGCTCCTAGGGAAACTGGGAGAAAATAGAAAGTAGAGAAAAGAAGTGGCAGTTTGATTTGTCAGAGTTTGCTTTTGCTTTTAAAAGTATTTTCAGCTGAATTTTAAGTGCTAATATTTTCAAATGAAAGTATTTTTCTCACTTTTTTTTGCTTGTTTTCCTGAGTAAGAGGAAAATAGCATTGAATTGTTTTCCCCAATTGGGAATATGTTGGAACATATGAGAAAGCAAGCAGGAAGAAATCATTCAGTTCTCAATTACACTCTATTTTCATTAAGTAATACAAAACCAAAATTCTGACTCCAAGAAAACACAAGGGAAAAATGAACTTTTTACACCGTCCTCATTTTTTCTTATTTCCTCTTCAGAAGATGTTTTAATGGAAAAATAAAAACCCTAAAATTTCCTGGGTTTCCTGGGTAGCTGCCCCTCCCAGACTTGCACCCCCTCAGCTTGCTCACGGCTGTAAGAGCTGAACTTCTGCAGCCGGGCAGAGGAGTGAGCTAGGATGGCATCGAGCAAAAGGTTATATCTGATCCCTGACCTTTCCAGGCTTGGACTCTGATTTCACAGAGCCCCCGGAATTAGTTTAGTTGACAAAAATATTAATGGGGATTAGTGACCGACTCCACATCCTAAAAGACTGCTGGTTGGTCCAGATCACATTTTCTCATTCACCCCATGTTGTCCCATGGCGGGTTTAACTATCTCGTCTGTAACCTCCCAGTTAGTGCCAGCGCGGGCTGCGGTTCGCAGAGGGCTTTCACTCCTGTTTCAGCCTCGCTGAAACATTCAGTTAATGCTGAAGGGTTGTTGCCGGCAGGGCAAGCTGGAGCAGAGAAATTCCTGCTCTGAAGCATTGCATTTTACCGCTTGTTTTTGCAGGCACCCCAGTTGAGGACGTTATTACCTGCTCTTGCAAAGACTGGGTTTGGACGTTTTACAGAGATGGAGTGAAAAAAACCTCAAACAACTTATAAAATACCCATTTGCTGTTGATACACCCATTTGCCACCATCAGTGGCTCCAAGGCACGGAGCAGCGATGCTCTGCCTCCTGCCTGCCCTGAGCCTGCCGGGAGCCCACATCAACACCTCTAATTGCTGGTGTTTCCCACCCCACGGCACCTACTAACTGGCATTTAGGACTGTCTAAAGTGATTCAGCTGCTTGCCGTAGGGATCTGCCTTGATTGCCAGTGTCAACAATATTGGTCCACGCACCCACCTTCAACGGAGGGAGCCGCAGCCTCTTTCCTTCTGCCTTTGTCCAGCCCTGCACCGCTGCCAGTGCATTCCTCAGGGGTCTTGGGTATTTTTTCTCCAATTTCAAAAGACTCGTCCTTCTTTGAATGTCCCTGTAGTGCTAGAATGGCTGATATTTTCCTCCTTGAATTCTATTTACTGCAACACCTGCCAAAGATGACGACTTTTCTCATAGATGGCACATCAGCTGAAAGCCTAGGGAAGATGCAGTATCTCATATCAAGCCCTCTCTGTGTGACATTTGCAAGGGCAGGACTATTTTTAGGGCCCGCCATCAGCTACAGACAGGATTCTTGCAAAGGTTCACTCAAGGTTGTTGCCTCTGCTGTTTATTTCCATAGTCCCAGATGAACCAGGTGGACTTTGTACACTTGGGGTATCGTGGCCTTTCTGAAAGAAACAAGGGTGACCTGCATCACCTTGAAAGAGGCTGGGAACTTCCTAGCACAGAAGGACAGACTGCTGCTTGCTCCTCCAGAGCTCAGACAACAACAGAGGAGCACCAATAGCTAAATTTGCAGGGCACCTACACGCCAATATATGACTCTCTATTTGCAACTCCAAGATAACAACTAGTTAGTAGATGCCCAGAGCTGAGACCACGTGGTCGGGCCCCAAAGAGGGAAGACCCAGAGTACTGCATATCAATGGGTCTTTCCTCTTGCCATGCAGTTCCCCAGGTCTCCAAGCCATGTCACACCAGCGGCAGAACATCCATCACCTCCCCAGGGCAGTGCCAAAGGCATGGACCACCACGTGCCACGCTGAAATTGCACACCTGAGCCGACTCCCTCCATGCCCCCATTCAAACGTTACATTTTTGTTGAAAACTAATGCTTCTCGGTTGTTTTATTAAACATTGATCTTTGACTATTTTGACCTGTCTGTCCCATGACCCAGAGTATTTCCAATAGCAGGTTTCTGTGCTGTTGCTTATCTCTTCCTTGTTCTTAGCCTTATCTGTAACTATATGTTCCCTCAAGCAGTAAGACATCGCGGTAAGACTATGGGTTAGATGCCACCATGCAAGCTGCAAAGTAGAAAGTGCCTCAATTCTGCTTGGGGGATTTCCTGGCAGCAGAGGTGGCAAGTGCACCGGCATCCTTTCATCTCATTTACGTACTTTTTAAAGTAATGAATTTGTGTTTATTGACTAGGCGAGCAGGATTTGAAAATGATCAGGATACTGCAGGCTGCACACCCAGGGGTCTTTGTTGACAACGAAATCATAGAGCCCAACCCACAGCATGTGGCAGCTTACAAAGGTAAGGCTATAGCTGCTGCCTGGGGTATAGCGAGGACTGTCGATTTGAATGATAAGTTTTTCTGCTGTTTTGTGAAATTCATGTTTTTCTTCTGCTTTTTTAAAACAGAGTTGGTGAATCAAGCTCCAGACCTGCAGAATGTCTCTTTTATTTGGCACCAGCTCACTTCCTTGGAATATGAACAACAGGTGAAAGAGAAAGGTGCACATAAGAAATTCGACTTCATCCATATGATCCAGGTAATGGAGTATTGCTTTCATTAGCTTTAACTACTCCCTTAATTTCTGCTGTATGCCTCAAGTTAGGGGGAGCAGAGCTGAGCACAGTTCTCCCATGAGCAACTACATCTGCAGCAGCTCTACAAACACCAAACCTCATTCCCTGTCCACCTTGGTTTTGGTCCCTTGTTTGTACTGGTTTAACTGTGTATGGTGGGTAATAAAACGGGACGAGTCTCAGACCATCATGCGTCACATGGAAGCCAACAATTATGCTTTGCTGCTGCAAAAAGCTAGAATTTTTTTGCTTAATCGGAGCAGTTTGGATGGCACTGAGGGAAAGGTTAGTGAGTGAACACCTGTGTCAGGTTTTGGGTCAGAAATTATTCTGCTGTTTCTCTGATACTGATGACACTGATGTTGTATGTACCAATTATATTTTGTGAAAAATCTGTTATTCTCTCACTTTAGTGGTTTCATTTAATTTTTCTTTTATTTCATTTTGTTTTAATTTAATAAGAGCTGATTTCACACCTGAAAAGTGTTTCAGAGTTTTGGTGGATGGGTCAAGGGCTAAGTTACAAGACCTGAGGGCAGCCTTTGAAATGAGCCCTGCTTTGTCCCAGTGCAAATTCCTTGATCTCTGGAAGAGATCCAACCAGCCCATGGCCCAGACACGGCCAAGAAACGCCCCTGGTGATAAGGACCAGCCACAGAAACCAGGAGACAGCCTCTGCACGTAATTTCCAACCACAAAACTGCACTGGGCTTGAAGGGCAGCGATGAGAAGGTCAGCGTCTGGCTGGTGGCCGAGGCTGAGCAGAGGGTCCCCGGGTCTGACCCCAGGCTGTTGGTGCCGGTGGAGAGCTGGTGATGCTCAGTCCTGTGGGGCATCCCTAAACGTGCGTGCTGAGTTAGGACAGGCTGGGAAGCAACTGGGAAGTAATTTAAAACAGCTCTATAGAGAAAGGGTTTAAGACTTTGAAGGGCCATTGCACTGTGGAGGAGGAATAACGGCTGTGTGTAACTCTGTCACTCCTAGATGCTGTACCGTGTGGAGGATATTCCCAATACTATCAAGTTTTTCCACAGCTGCCTCGACCATCATGGTAAACTCTTGATCATAATTTTATCAGGTAAGAGGGGCCTTTTATTTTTTGTTTCTTTGCTGGTGTTTTGAAGAGCTTTGAAGCATGAGAACCACAAATATTCATCTCGGGATTTTAGTAGTGCTTATTAATTAAATAAAACAAATGCTGTATTTCATAGGGAACAAGCAATCTTGGGCTTAGCCTCTTGGACCCCAATGTCTGATGGGACTGCATAGGCATAGCCTTCGTGCTCTTGCTTCCCTACTTATGAAGTAGTTGAATTGCTCTCTAACTCGCAGAGACCTTCTGCTGTGAAATTACTGGCTAGAGAGAAGTGTGGCTATTAATGAATGAGGGTCAATCCCTCTTCATGGTGAAATGAGCACTGTACAACCTGAGCTCTGGGAGTACCCATCTTTGGGGCGCTCCCCTCCACACAGCGATGACCCAGACCCCAGCAGGACAACAGGAGCTGCCAAGAGGAAAAAGAGGCACTTAAAACATCATGGCACTTATTAAAAAAATGGAGTGTTTTTTTTCCAGTGTGCCATTCACAGATCCCCAACTTGTGGTGCAGTGGATAAAGCACACTTCCCCACGTTTGCCATTAAAACTCCCTTTAGCATTGCTGGTAGGCTGTTTCCCTTGCTAGCTGGGACTGGCTTTTCAGGTATGTATACTTTGATGTATACTTAAAATTGAGGTTCAAGGTATAAAAACATCTGCACTATTGTATCAAAGGGACAGTTAATAGGTAGCATGCATGTGCTGGCTCAGTGCACTGATATATCTGTGTGTACTCCTCCTTCCGGAAAAATCCAGTGCCGGAGACCATCTCCTCAGAGTTTCCTTTAAACAGGAGAGTTTTGGAAGGAGGGCTGATGGAGATCGCAGTTTTACTCCTCTCCAGGCACAGACATTTATAAGTGGACCCAAGTAAGGGGAAACCTCTTCTAACTGCTCCTGGCAAAGTCTGTGCCAGCAGCGAGGGATCATTTCAAACTCATTTAGTAGTTGCATTAGCTGATGTTTGACTGCCTTGGCTTTGCAAAAGTAACCTTCCCTCCTGCTCTGGCAGACAGCAGCGGATGGGCCAGCTTATGGAAGAAGTACAGACACTGCTTGCCTTCCACCGACAGTGGCCACTACATCACCTCCAACGGCATCACAGATGTTTTGAAGAGACTGGGTGTTGAGTACCGCGTTTATGAGTTCCCATCGGGCTGGGATATCACTGAGTGCTTTATCGAGGGGGACCCGGTTGGAGCCTGCATGATGGATTTCATGACGGGGACAAAAAACTTCCTGGGCACGGCCCCCCCGGGGCTGCGGCGGCGGCTGCAGGAGGCTCTCTGCCAGCCCGAGTGCAGCAGCAAAAAGGACGGGAGGGTCATTTTCAGAAACACCTTGAGTATGATTGTGGTTGAATCCTAGAGTCCGGACCAACTGCCGAAGACAAGTTAGGAGGGGTATAGGGGCGATGCGGTTGCAGAAGGGCATAGCATAGAAAGAAGGCCACTTGCAGGCAAGAAGGCAAGAAAGTGGGGCTCATCCGCAGTCTCCCGTTCCCAGCCAGGGTCAGTGGACACTGCAACACTGGGGATGAGCTCTTTGTCCCGATGATGTCAATGGAGCCTGACTATTTAGTCCAGCCCTAGGAGAATGTTTTCCTGAAAGGAAAGAGCTCCATCTCACTAAAAGCCTACATGGACTTTTTTTTTTAATGGTATGCATCCTGTCTGTGCTTTTGACACTGGAATTTCCACTTTTCTATGTAGCCAGCATGTTTACATACCTAAAGACGTGTCTATATGACCAGGTGCTCCCGGCTGCAGCCCCTGTGCTGGCTCCATACAGACCCACTGCTTACAGCTGCACCAGGGAAAAAACAGCAAGGTGTCCCTGCTGCTTTGCACCCAAGTAATGCACCTCACTGCACCCAGACCTGAGCTGTAAGTTGCTCTGCACTAGGCTATTTCACATGGTTTTATCAGCATAGGTATTTACTGCCTCAAGCATCTCAGCGTCTCGCAATATAGACATGTCTTAAAAATTTATCGGCCTTTTTGTTTGGAGAATTTTTTGGATCCCAGGATGATACTTGCCCTGTGCTCTTTCAGGCAGATACTAATTTTGTTACTTTCTTACTACTGTTTTTCTCTATATAAAATAAAAGCAATCTTAAACGAAAAAAGTCACATCTTGTTCTGTACGTGTGGGCTTCAGAAAATGAAAAGCAAAGAGGTTAGGTAGTTAAAAATAAAAAAAAAATGCAAAATACAGTTTTATGGAAGCATAAAGTTTCCTGTAAGTGAGAAAGACGAGCCTGAGGCCATGGAAGAGCTGGGCGTGAGATGCAACTCGTCCTTGTGCCACAGCCTTTGGAGGCATCTTGGCTCACTCAAAGCAGCGTTACTGCAGCACAGCAAAGCAGCACCTATGTTACTTAAATATAATGTATGTGGTTAAGGTATTAATACAGGTAAGTTAGGACTACTTCCACAGGGTCCTGAGTTATTCAGAGGGCTAAAGAAGGTGCTGCTAGGGCAGCCAGCTGGAAAGGGAGACCCTGCACGGGACACCAGTGGGATCTGGTGCTGCATTTAGGACCATGGTGCTGTGCAGACCTTGGGCTGGGCACATGGGGGCAAAGTAGCCTGCAGTCCTGCCGGCCTCCTTGCAAATAGCTCTCAAGGCAAGAAGCACCAGCTCAGATGGAAAATAGCTGCAGGCACAGAGCCCACCTCTATAAACCGATTTTTCTGTGCTTAAGCTGGAAAACACGTGCCCATGTGTATCTGAAGGGGCTCGGATACTGCTGCCTTATTGATGCCTGGTATTGATCAAAAGGCTTGTTCCAGCATCACGAACACATGGGCTGGCACATTGGCTTGCAAAATAGTAGATGTCATTGTCACCCAGAGTCCTGCTGATCCCGCGAAACCTACGCCCCCTGCCCCCATCTATCTGCCTGGATGCCGTTACTGCCAGAGGTAGCAGCGCTCCCGTCTTAAAAGGTAATGTCAGCTCACACAGTCGTCACGGCTCCACTTTGTGCTTTGGTTTTTTGGTTGTTTTTTTTTAGTTTTGGTTTGGGTTTTTTCATCTCTTTTTGAAATGCAGCCATTTCTCCTGCAGATGTTTCCTCTGAAACTACTGTAAGGAAAAAAAGAGGAAAGCAGTGGGAAAATGATAGCGTAACATCATCCCTCTGGCAGGACTGCAGCTCTCTGGTCTGTAAGTACTATTGCTGCCAGCCTAAGAAACATCAGTCAAAACTGGACAACCTCCTCCAGAGTACCCCATACCTATGCACAGGCTTTTTGTTTTGATCCATTTTACTCTTTATTCAATAGGTATCTCCTTTGATTGTGCTCACTGACAGCACCGGGCAGGGAGTGTACGGCTGGGCTCTTCGATGGGCTCTCAGCACTGCTCCCATCAATGTCCTCCTTCCACTGTTAATTCCCATGGTTTATTTCCAAGTGTTAGTGATGTCTCTGTCTCTCCCTAGTAGATTAAAAATAAAAACAAAATGTACCAAAAACCAGGCTTGCTTTTCAAGCTCCAAAGAATCATCTACCTGTTAGTCTTCGCAGAAATTTGGAACAGCCCAGGCTCCCCCAGATCTTCCCCAACCCAAGAGGTTTTCAGCCCTCCTTGGAGTTTCCTGAGCAGATAGACATGTTTCCAGTAAGCAGATACTCAGCAAAACTTGTGAGCACAAAATTTACCCACACCATTGTAAATCAATGCGCAAATGCTCAAAAGGCACACTTCAAAGCAGACTGTTTAGTGGCAGCCTAGGGAGATGAAACAGGGCGCCCCATTAAAAATGCGACTGCTTAATGCTTTATCTGTAATTTTCCTTTTGATTCTTGAAAAGCAAGTAATTTAACAAGGACTCTGCTTGTACACCTGGAACAAATACTATCCTAAGTGTCTGTTCCTTTTATTTATGCATTTATTCTTGGATGAATATGCTATTTAATAACTATTTGTTGTGCTTTTTAAAATATGCTGTCCTCCCACGCAGCATTTTGGTCTGCGCTTTCCCAGCAGCCGGCGTGCAGGAGCGCGGTTGGGTCTGTGTGGCCACGAGAGGGCTGCAACAGCCAGCGGATTAGATCCGCTTCCCAAAACGCTTGAGATGCTGAGCTGAAGAAGCAGCGTCAAGTAGCCGGACAGGGGAATGGAGCACTGGCCCAGCTCAGCTTTCTTTGCTGGGTCATCACAGCCCGATTCCAGCTGTTGAGGACCACGCTTTTTTCTACCGCAGAGTCACGTTCTTGGTGCTGGGCTCCAGCTTATAAAAGAAGTCATGACTGCACAGCACGGGTGCCAACAAGGGCTGCAGAAAATTTGCTCTTGGGTTGTTTTTTTTTTCCCCACTTGATGGCTGAAGTGCTGCAGCTTAGTCATCTCTCAAGCACGGGTCTGCAGACCCGTTAACCAGGCGTTGCCGCTGACCGGGGGAGGAAAACATAAGGAAGGGGATGTCAGGAGCGTGAGGTCGCTTCTGCTTTAGCTTTGAGCCGAATTAACCTTGCTGACCTCAGTCCAAGATGAGCCCTACTCAGCAATGAGTTTCATGGCAGTTCCCAGCGCTGCAGTTAGCAAGGAGCAGGTCCGTGGCTCGCCGAGGGATCCGTGCTGCTCCGTCAGCGTGACAGCTTGTTCCAGCCCGAAACAAATGCTTTTGTGGATAACCGTGTAGTAAGCTGCCGTGTGTACTCTGGAGTAGAAGTAATGCCTACAAACCCCAAACGGCATTATTTTTAAATGGAGCAGTTGCAGGTTTTATCCTTATTTCAAGTTAGTAATATGCCCGTTTCAATGGCATGGCGTTGCTCTGATTGTGTATTACAGCCTCCTGTGTATTACAGAAAGCAGCTCTTTATGGTATCAAGGAAAGATAATTTGTTTTTTACTGGGCCTGTATTCAGTCTTGGGGGCTGACTGGTTTGCCTTTGTAATGAATGTTAAGGCTTCTCTACCCATGAATATTACCAGGGGACTGAAGGTAGCATAGGAACTGGAAAATCCAACAGTTTATTTCTGAATAATCCCATGAAATGGCAAGCTCGGTAAAATACTGGAGCATGTATCAAAAAGATTAAAACTAGCCTCAATCAGGGAGCAAAACACAAAAATACAGAAGCTGAACATTTTTTTTTCCCCCTTCAATATTTGCCCACAGAAATCTGTTAAGGCTTATATCAAGGATGTAGAAAATCTGTATTCAGATTTGGGGTGCTAGTTGTGGAGGTCTCTTGGGTGAAGAAACCTGAGGCAGGATCTAGATGTGGCAGAGCAGTTCCCACAAGGTTGTACTTAGGAAATCCCGGGAAAACCAAGGGCATGCTTATGCCCAGAAAATAGTCTTCCAGCTGCCCTGAAAGCATGCGTGGTTCAGAACTGCTTCATCAGAAATATTGTCAGATAGTCCTTGCTAGGCACAGAATTTGGGTTTCCTGAGGGACTGACCTTTCTCAAAAACCTTTATGATGGGAAGGACAGGAGTAACTGAGCTCGACATGAAATGTCTTTTGTCTTTTGATGGATTTAGTCCTAATGACCCAAAACATGAACTATCTCCACATGCTCTGTATCCAGCAGAGAAGGCAGCAAAGGCCAGACAAATCTCCCTGAAGCTGCTGGTTGTACCTCTGTGTACTGGTGGTAGGATGACTCGCACAACTGGAGTGCTGCAATGGATGGCTATAAAATCCTCAGAAGGGACAGGCAAGGAAGGAGAGGCAGTGGGGTGGCCCTGTACGTTAGGAAGTGTTTTGATTGTCTAGAGCTTAATGATGGTGACGATAGGGTTGAGT